AAGGAGAAATGTCATCAAGGGCATCAAGTTATCCTGGTACAAACCATGTAAGTGGAGGGTGACTCATACCTCTGGTGCTCTGTGCTTTCCTGAAACTCAGTATGACTGAAACTGCATTCTATGAATGGTATCTCTGGGGCCTCAGTGACACAGAGCAGCACAGCAGGTTCCTTTTGTTTGGGGCGTTAGTAAAGTCCAGTTCTGCAATGTATTCACCCAAAATGTAGAAAGTAAGGAAAAAGTATTGCAGCGTTGTTAATGGAGACATTCTACTGACCATATTCTGCAGCCCTTTTTGTAATATATACCAGTTCAAACTTGTCACTGAGTTAGTAATGATTTACAAAATCATATATTTATTTACTTTGTCAACATTGTTTTCACTTGACAACTTTGGAACAGCTTGTTTTATTAATTTGTCCTTTAAAAATTTCTGAATGTTGATTTAAGATTTTAAGTTTCTGATTATTCTGTCTTTTATTTTTTATCTTCCCTTCCTTTTCTCCCCATGAGTACAATTAATTGAATACTACCCACTGTTTTTCTCCTTTCATTTGCTTCTTTTTTCATATTATGATTTATTACCTTTATTATCAGATATCTTCTGCTTTTGGATAGTCAGAGTGTGACAGTCAGATTTTCTGTAATGTTACCAAAATTAACAGAATTCTGAGCTACTATAATGTGGCACAAGGAAGACTGACAACATATTCCTTCCACTTCTCACCATTTCTTAACACTTCTGAAAAGTAAGGCTCTTTTAGACTCATACCAAAGGGAAGACAGAGGAGAAGGAATGAGGATCACTACCTGAATGACGGATACTTTTTCAAACTATTATACTTGCTAAAAATTGGATATTTTGGGGGAATCTCTTAACAGCCATTTTCAGTTTTGAGAAAGATAATATTGATGGGGAGAGAAAAGGTTTTCAATGAGAAGTTCCTGCAGCTGTCATGATGATTAATAAGGAAAAAAAGGAAGGAAAAAGGATGGAGAAATGAACTGTAATTTAGCATGTTAATGTTAACACCTTCTTCTGGGAAAGTACCTTTTGATATCAGAAGAAAGAGACTATAGTATGAGATGTTTATTTATTCTCTCACAATCCTGAAGGGTTGTGTAGATAACCATTTTCTTCCCAACATCCAACAGGAGGGTGATCGCCTGAGTGATGAAGATTTGTACAAGTTCCTTGCTGACATGAGGCGGCCATCATCAGTGTTACGGAGATTGAGACCCATCACAGGTATTGAGCAAGATCTTTTTGGCTCACATGTGTTAAGGTATTTGGTTAGTCCTTGCCAATTGCCACCCGGTTCTTACAAGGGCGCAGATGAAAAAGCCCTAAGAATTCATCAACAGCAATCTCTGGTAGACCACGAGCACTGAAGAAGGCATTTTGGCAGGTTTTTCATTGGTACATGTGCACGTGGAGCTCTTGTCACACTGAGAGAAGTATCTGTGAGAAGAGGATGCAAACCCCAAAGCCCTAAACCCAGCAGGGGCTGAGGAACCTCTGTTTTCCTGAATAAAATACCATTCTCCAGCTGAGAGGAGATCTCTTTCTTGGCTCGCACTTGGTTAATAGGAACAGACTCCACCTCTGTTTGAGAAAGGGAAGTAAAAAATCTGGCACAACAGCAGTGAAGCATCACTGGTCCCTGACCTGTGCTATTCCTGACAATATTTACTTAACCTGTTCTTCAAAATCTCCAGTGACAGCAATCATACCGCTTCCTTAAATCATCTCTCCCAGCTCTCAGCTGTCCTTGTAGTGAGGTTAGGTACTAAGAAAACTTTGTAAAATTATCTTGCTGCAAATTAATCTGATTATGGTCCGTCATGCCCTCAGGGCAGTTATCACAACCTTTCGAGTACTTGAATACTGTTATTAGTTCACTCTTACTCGCCCCTGTTTTGTAGCTTAACCAATCTCAGGGTTTTTTTAACCCTTCCTCAAAGGTTGTGATTTTAAAATTGCCTGTTACTCTTTGCTAGAGTTTCTTTAAGCTGTCCATGCTTTTCTTCAAGCACGGTGCTCTAAACAGGTTTTACTGCTCCTCCTAAGACCTCGTGCTGAGTAAAGCAGACAAATTTGTCTCTAGTGTCTTACACATACTGCACTAATATATCTTAGAATGGTTGTAGCTTTCTTCTGGACATTCTAAGATACATGAGTGACTCGCTGTCACTGCTGTCACCTGGCCCTTTTCTATAGAATAGATCCATGCAATTATTTTCTTTTTTTTCAAATGTTTGTATGTTTGGCTTCTCCTTCTTCATGCAAGTCCTTTGCTCTTTCTTATGTTTCACCTTAGTCATTCGATGCCATTTCTCCAACTCTCCTGTCTATCACATTTTTGCAATCATTCCAGCCTCAGTGCCATACACCAACAATAAGTACTGTCAGTACTGTCAGCTAACTTGCTAAGGAAAATATTCAATAATCTTGGTGCAGATTAGCTTTCAGCAACTCCTGATGTATTCTTTCAGTTTGGTAGGCAAGATTCCTGATGGGACTTTGAGTATTGTTTTTAACAGTAGTTGGGCCTCACAGTAGCACTATCTAGCCTCTATTTCCCCAGAGAACAGCATTTGGAACTTGTTAAGATACATTTTTTCTGTTGGTTCTTATTACCTGGTACCCCACTTGCCCTAGATAACAGTTTGATTCACTGTTACTTGTTTTTAACAAATCCACCTTGGCTGTAATTTATGATTTGTTTATTTATGAAATTAATATATAGAATATTAACCTGAAGAAACAAAGCGTGAATATGATTTAAATTAACTTCTATTTACTGTAATAAAATAATTTTCTTCTTACAGCTCAATTAAAGATAGACATATCTCCAGCTCCAGAGAATCCCCATTACTGTCTAACTCCAGAGTTGCTGCAAGTCAAACTTTACCCAGACAGCAGAGTTAGACCTACAAGAGAAATCCTGGAGTTTCCTGCCAGGGATGTCTACGTTCCAAATACCACATACAGGTTAGAGTTTCGAAATACATTTCACATTTCAGGGCCTGAGACTGGCAAGTCTAGAAACTCCTACCTTATCTGGTTCGTTGCAAAACTTGCTGTATCAGTAGATCTGCTGTGCCAGAGGCACAGTAAGGGTCCAGACTGACACAGCAGAAAATACACAGCTGTGAAGGGACAAATAAACTTGCATAAAACTTGGCTGTGAACAAGAACATGAGAGGTTTCTCCATTTCCCAAAATTCATAGTGAAATTTAGTTGAATTCTTTTCAGTTTTAGTAGGTTTTTTTCTTTGTTTATCTGCTAAAGTCATCATTCTCTTACTGTTTTTATTACTTTCTGACATTTACAGTGACTTACTTTTTTTTCTTTGAAGTAGGAGATAAAAGTGAAAAAATGCATAAGCCCTTTGTTCATATTTCCATTGTGATTTAAAAGCAATTTCTTTGTTTACAATGCTTAAAAAAAATTGAAGATCTGGAAGATAAGAATTTTTTCTAAAGTGTCTTGGAAAACAGTAACTGTTCTAGAAGTAAGCCCAGGCAGGGAGCAGATTTCTTTTCATTATGTACCACTATTCATTTAATGCTTTTTCTCAGTATCTTTAAAGACATTACACGTCTGAGTGGAATTGTCTTCTTCAGCTGAGTAATTTCACCAACTTACTCACCAAATCTATTACTTCTTGTCGTAAAAGTTAGATAAATACAAACCAGATTTTTATAAACCAAAGCTTACAAGAAGGAATTTAGACAAGTTCCGTATCTCGCATATTTTCAAAAGCTTTATTTATTGATTGATTGGTTGAGATCGGACAGGTAATTAAAGATTACAATACATGAGTACAAATAAGCAGCCCTGTGTGATCTCTTCTTTGTAATAAATCTATGAGAAGTAAAAATGTTTTTTTAGTTTTTCTGGAATTATCACATTCTGTTCACATTCCTTTCACTCTGACAAATTACAGTTTAAAACCATTTTCTGTATGGTTGCAAATGTTGAGATAAAAAATCAGTACTGTACAAGGGTTAGATAAGATATACAAGTCAATATGACTCAAGGTAACTGCAGAATTGGGATCTTTGTCAGTCAACACTTCCACGGCCAGCTGTCTGCAAGCATGTCAGTAGTCCTTCTGCCTTATGGTGTTCTGCAGCTGAAGTTAAACCAATGTGAATGTGTTCTCAGGAGCAGGACCAACGCTGTCACATAGGATGTGCATGCAGGGTTTGTTGGTTGGTACCATTGACTCCATTGGAGTTGCCCCACAGGCAACCATTCTCTATTTGAAAGATGTTTTGTTTTGTGCTTCCTTGATCTTTCATTTAATTTCTTAGTTAGATGTACTAAAAGGTTGCAAAGGGATGGCTGTGGTTCCATTTCAAATGAGAAGAAAAGATCTCTTACTTTTCAGTAAGATTTCAGTAAGCTTTGACACTTGGCTCTTAACTTTCAATAAGAAAGTTAGTTCTTAAGTTATTCTTCAAAGTGTGGTACCTAAAAGGTTAGGCTTGTGCTCTGGCTTACTTGATGTGTGTGTACACATCTATAGCTGCGTGAGTACAGTGCTTCTGTGAAGCCTGGCCTGAGCTACACTGCTGAAAATTTGTCTCGAAATACACAGAACCCTAAGATGGGGAATTACCCATCTTTCGTTTGCTCATAGAAACTATCCGCAACAATAACATGACCCAAACATCAAAGTAGTTACTTTATGAAACAAAATTTTTCTCCCTATAGTTTAATACCTAAGTGTCTTCCATAGAATTTTGCCAGCCCTTCATTTATTGAAATTCTTTATGTGTTCCCTTCTACACACCCCAGGAACGAATGCAACAGCCTGCAAACCCATTCCTCCAAGCAATGTTATCTAGCACATGAACAGGCGGTTGATTCCTAGGCATTAGAGTTTCATCCAGGGGAGGTAGAAGTTCCATGAAAGTTGCAGCACATTGAGATTGTGGCTAGAGGGAATGAGAATACTCACCAAACATACTGTAAGACCATCGCAAATGCCTCAGGTTTATGTACTGGAGAATACACCGTACATTGTATGGATATAGACGTGCATCTGTTCTTAAAGATAACATGAACTTCTTTGATGTAGTAATGTTCAGTATATGTGTTCTGAATTAAGATGCATCAGGTTAAGCATTCAGTCAAAACTTTTTAAATCCGTTGGGTGTATCATTATTTTGGTTGACTTGAGCAAGTAGTATCTTCCTTTCTTAGGCTTCCAGTATAAGCCTTTTCTTCTGTCTAGTCTTCCTCTTGACCTTGGTGTGATGTATTTCCCGTTAAGATTGGTTTCCTCACATTCACTGTGCCACCAGCCTCCTAAGAAAAAAATATTGTAATGTCAGTTACTGTCAGTTGTACCCTAACCTACTGTGCTCAGTTTCCAAATAGACAGCTCCTGTTTCTAACTTATAAATCTTTAGACCAGTTCCAGCAAATGTGACAATTACCCAGTGTAACCAAATGAAATGGTGCTTGTACATACACCCACTTACACTTGCAAGTTGAGGGCCAGTACAAAGATGTGCTCCCCATTATTGTCTGCTTCTCATAAAAGTGGTGGTGCATAGAAAACTGCACACACAAATGCTACCACTGAATTGGGACACTTACAAAGTTAGCTCCACAGTTTCATGTTTCACGTGACCTTCCTCAACTGACTTTCTGATTTGCAGTTATTTTCCTCAGGTACAAATAGTTAAATATCTGCATCTACAGGAGGCTGAAGAGCCTTTAGTAATCAAACTCTCTTTTTTAATTGGCTGTTGTCCATAACCACAAGCTTAAATTGTAAGCCCAGTTCTGCTTGCAAAGGACTGTCAGTGACTGTGTGCTCAAATGAAAGTTTAGCACTTTGGAAGTCACTGGCCATCTGTTTTTTGGTCACTAGAGCTGAGTAACACTCTCAGCATTGTTTCAGACATTAACAATTTTCAAGCCTAGAATGATGTACAAAATGTTTGTTGCATGAAACAGGTGTCTGGAGGGCAATTCTGTATCCTGTGGTTTAATCATTAATTGCTTTTTCAACTGTTTGCTTTTTGCTATGAACTGCCAAAACATAAAAGCTTTAACCAAATGATCTTTAAGGAGAAACGTCTTCAGCCTTGTATCTCTCTTGCTCTTTCGAGAGTGATTATAGCATATATACCTGACAAGTGGCTAAAATCTCCCTTTGAATGAAAACTCACCATCATTCTTAACTTCTGGTTTGTAGTCAAAATGGAGCTAAGAGTCAGTTTGTCTTCTCTTTTTTTGCAAGGAGGAGTTAAACAATCTGACCCAGGGCTGCCACACCAGCCCGGGCATCAAAGGAAGAACTGCCCTTCACTTCATAGCTCAGAATCTCATCCTGGGCTTTTGTTTCAGACTGTGCTGCTAGTTCTCTTTCTGATGTTGGTCATTTGCACAGCCTCACCATGCTTTAGTTTTACCTGTCCATAAAATAGAAGGATGATGCCTTGTTGTAGGACCCTGCTATCCATCAATGAAAACCATCTGCCCTTTCCTGCAAGCAGAACTATGCTGTTACCCTCTTTTTTCTGTATCTAAACCCAGGGTACTATTGGTAACTACCCACTAAAGCATACTATAATCTTTCATGTAACAAAGAAGCTCCCATGTTAATATACCCAGCATACTGATACCTAGGTAGTTTTCTGGACAGTTGAAGTCATTTCTTATGTCCACCTCATGGTCTGCAGTTGAGAACTGCAGTTCTGTCTGCTCTGGCAGGGCATTGGGAATGCTCCCGGAGATCCGTGAAAGCTGTAGAGTGTAGTCTGTTTCGGGGCCTCCCAGGCTGAATGCATACTCGACGTGACGTTTATTATCCTTCCAGTCCTGCAGCTCAATCCGTAAGATGTAGTCCCCTTGTTTAGTAATGGAATAGGTCTTGTTCAGGCCTAGCCAGAATTCCTCTGCAAAGTTGTAGTAAATAGATGCTGTTAATATGGAACTAGGCATGAACACACTTCGCATGTTTTTCTCTAACCTATACTTCAGACAGCTCATTAACCTTTAAAATACCAGTGTTTGAAAATAATGTTTTCAAATAAACTGCACAATGTCAGAATCAAGAGATGTCAGAGGTGAGGGCTAGGGGAGAGAAGTCACCAGTCAGAGAGTTAGTGGGGACAGGGTTATGTGATAAACTTTCCCCAAAAGCCCATATTGCTCACACTGCTATTGAATTTGCTTTTACAGATAACCTGTGGGTAGTATGTGTGAAAATACAGTATTTACAAGGATTTATTCATTGCTTTAATTAAATCAATAATATGAGTCTTGGGGACTGTTGATCTTTTCAGAGGTCTCCTGCTACATTCTTTTTGTTTACTTCTTCTTAATTGCACACCGGTGATCAATAAAAGCAAGAGATATAAATGAACTGGAGCTTCTCTCTTAACTTTCCTACCTCTTGTGAAACTCTGAGGGAGCTCAAGACATTTAAAACATGCATAATTGGAACTGTGTGACAAATGAAGCAAATGACATACATAAAACCTAATTGCAATTGTTGTATTTTTTAAGGAAAGAGCTGCAGAACTAAACTGAGATTTCGATACCCTTGTGTACAAAGTGAATGTAACTTGAGCATTTTTCTTTTGCTAGAATTCTCGATAATTAGTTTAATTAGTTTCATAAATTATATGAATTAAGTAGCTTATCATCAGTGCCACTGGTATCAGTGCACAATAGGTAATTGCCACATGTAGAAATAGTGTAGCTGAATGTTAGTGCCATACATGCAGGTGGCATTTAAAGCAATAGAAGACAAGATGGTTCAGTAAAATACTCCCACAATTTACAGATAAGGAGCAGTAGCCAGTTATGTTTTATCACCTTAGAATATGCAGCACAGAACTGAGTAGGAAATAGCTGAGTGATGCAATCCTCTGCAAAATGTTTCTGTCACTGAGAAGGTGTGGCTTCATTTTGGTTTAGTATATGGGAATTGGAGACCAATCAAGGACCAACTGTAGCATTCAGTAGGATCAAGCTACATAGGTAAAGGTCTACCTCAGTCGTGAGCTACTGTCCCAAAATGCAGGAAAGTTTGAGATACGGCAGCACTTCATTATAGAAGAAGTGGAAGTAATTCAGTATTGCTGCCCACATTGGCGAGGTTTTGATCTGTGCTGTGCCTAGAAAGTCAGAGTGTTTTCTAAACAAAAGTAGAGTCATCTCACTGTACAAGAAAAATAGGGAAAATATTCTGGATGGGAAGGCTGCTGGGCAGCACTTGGTGCTACAGATTCTTGGGAGTTGATGATTAACAGGGGAATATGGGTGTTTCCTCGCCCTATCTGGCCATGGAAGGGATTGGCCGCTGCACGGAGAAGCCGGAGGTGTTTGTGCAGGGGAGCACACCCAGCCTTGGGCTCTCTTGGGGTTGGAAAACTTGGAGTGGTGGTTTTAAGGGAAATAGGGTTGCAGAAATATTGAGAGAAAGTAGTGACAACAACCTGGTGAGGTTTTGCGTTTGCGTACATTTTAAAGGCTTTGGGAGTCGCTTTTATAAATAGTAAAATCTTGATAATTAAAACAGTATTTAAAGCATTCTGGCCTTGATCCAGCAAAAGTTTCTAAACACACATTAGAAGGTGTGTGTTTGAGAATTTTACTGAGCTGTGCTTTCTGGTAAGTGCTTTCTGGTGTTCTAATTAGGTAAGTCGTTCAGATTTGATTGCAGGTTTTGTCTGCTCTCATGTGAACACCTGTCAGTAAGAAGATTCAGCTTCTCAAATAAACGGACACAAAGAAGAGACACAAGAAAAGTAATTTTTACCATTGAGGTCGCCAAAACCGTTTGTATAGGCATCCCAGGTTTGGTTGAAATCTAGTGATCCATCCACTCTGTTCTGGATTACAGTCCAGGAACTGCCTGCGGATGCAAAGGGGAAATAAGTCATAAGCCTGACTTAAGTGTTTAAAGCACGAGAGAGAAGATGGAAGGTGACTGAGAGCATCAGCTGCTGACCTACAGACTGCGCTGCTGTGGCTGCCCTTATGCGAGTGAGCTCTCTACCACAGTGCAGAAGAAAATGGGTTTGCATTGAAGGTGGCTCCATATGAATCCCACTTGCTTTTCATTTTGCAACAGACCTGAGTGCACGTGTGCTGAGCTATAAAGGCTCTGGGCTGTACTGAGAGCAGATGCTCGACTCCTCTTGGCCTTGGCCTTATTAACTGTTCGAGAGTGTGCTCTTGGGTGCTCCAATTTTGAGGTAGAATGAGTTAGCCTAGGTCTTTGTGAAAGAAATTCATGTGAGCACAGCTGAACAGAACATGGGGCTGTTCGAGCGTCCTGTGCAACACTTGTGGTCACTCAGTTCACTGGACTTACTTTGTTACGCTGCCTTAAATGGGTTTCATTTATTTATGTGGGCTGAGAAACACAAACATAGAGAAAATGATAAAGAAGAGATATGAAATGTTCCAGACATTTTATCAGATTGTCAGACTCCCTCTCTTGATAGTGCTTGACTGCTGGGAACACAACTCCACAGCAGGTACGAAGTGTTGGAGGCTGTGTCCACACTAGGGCAGCAGTGGGGTCTTTGTCCTGACCAGGTCATGACACCCTCGTTTCACCAGTTTCAACACATGTGAGCAAAGGAGCTTTTTGCACAGGGCAACTCCATGCCATTCTGTTTACACGTCTGAGCAAGTGACATGGCCCTGCCACGTTTGCATCGCTGTGTTCCCAGGCTCGCTGGGCAGCCCCAGCAAAGGGGCCGTGCGGGGAAGCCGGGCAGGTCACACACAGAGCAGCACTGCAGGATGCTGCATTGCAGGGTGGGGGGAAAAACAAAAAAAAAAGGATCAGTGAACTGGCCAGATGATGTGGGATCTCTGGGTAGTGGCAAAAGGAACAGACAAATGGGTTTTTTACAGATATAGAGCTTGGGTAAGTGCTGTGCATTCTGGTCCATGACAATTCTGGACCTATATGATGCAGAGCTACTGACTCGCTCAAACATGATACAGGAATCTGTCTCCAGGACTCACCTCTCTGGGTTAGCTTGGTGTATCTAAGTCTTGAGCAATAACCCATGTTAATGAAACAAAATTTTAATAAGGTGTTTACTATTTACCATTTGCTCTTATTTGGAAAAGCTATTAAAGGTTGCAATATAATGGCATTTATAATTGCCATTATAATTGCCATTTTCATTATCTATAACTAAAGGGACTTGGGTTTTTTTCATTAGCTTCATTTATGTCACATGATTGAAAGTCCTTCCTTTGCTATAAACAAGAAGTGAGTAAAGAATGGAAGTGGTGTTAAGGAGACTTCAGGATATGGGAAACATGAGTTCATAGTACAGACAGGCCAGTAAGAGAAGTCAGGAGGATACATAAATCATGGTAAGCTTCTGTGTACTTTGGGATGAGACACAGTTTTTTGTCTTATAAGAAACTACCTGTGTGAAAATTACACTGTTTCTAGCACAGCTGTCTTACCAAATTTCATTTCACAGTAGACATCAAAAGCTTCTGAGCCATTGGGCTTAATAGTGTAAACACCACTGGACGGCATGCCGCTGTTATAAAGAGCAGTGCAGTCAGGAGCAGCACCTAGGAGACCAAACAGCAGATGATTACAGATCCTCTTTCGGATGTGGTAATTTTCAATCCAACTTTGCAACTTGAATTTCTGTATGAGGTAGAGCCAAAACAAAAACAAGAACAATGTTTTTGGTATTTTTTTTTTTTTTATAATAAATGTAACGAAATGGACAAACTGCTTTGGTCTTGGTGGTACAGCTGCCAAGTTGCACATAGGTTGGACTGCCTATATTTTTTAAGTTGGTCAAGGTTTCATTTTAGATAATTTTGGAAAGTTTGTAAAGCCTAAGACTAGACTCTGGCAAATGGACTTTCCTACCCTTTATAAAATTCCCAATAAATACCATTCCCATTGCCACATTTCAAAACTGCCTTTCAACTTTAAAGAAAGCTCTTCTGAATCTTATAATTAGCCAGTATGAAGTAAATTAGTTCTCTGTTCAATACTTTCCAAGACAGGCATCGGCAACGCCAGAAGTGTTGGTAAAAGGATGGGAACAGCACATCTTTACAAGAGGTGACTGGAGGGTGAAGGCTGAGGACAGGATTACTGCATTGTTGGACGTTGTTCCTGTATGTCACCCCAGAGACAAGTACACGTTTAGTGGGGCTAATTAGATGACGACATTTTTTCCACAGCAGGAACTCTAGCTCCTTCTCACAGCGCTGTATATAACACAAGAGTCTTTTGCATTTAGTCTTTGACTACTAAAAACCAATGCAAAACTTTCACAGCGAATACTGTGAATGCAGTGCATTGTGTAGTCACGTCCAAGAGATAAGGTCTCACCGTCGGATCTGTGTGTTACAGCCGTGGCGTTGTGCACAGGGAAGGGGGTGGCCTCTGGTTCTGTTTGCTCTCCCGTGAAGGAGTCCTGTGCAAGTTCTTGGAGCTCTATGTGGTTTAGCTGAAAGAACCGTAATTACAGACTGTTAATTTCCCAAGGCTCTGAAATGATGAGATTCATGTATCAAGCCGAACAATGTCATGCAGAGAATAATTTTTCTTGTGAATGTAATTCTTTAGAATACCCAATTTGCAACATAAAAATAACTTCAGAACCGCACTGGTGGGTTTCAGTTGCATGAATGTCAGCTCTGCTGCTGCTCAAACAAGGTAGGATTCATGAGGCGAGTAAATGACCTGTGCTAACGAGGTGCACCTGAATGGGCAAACAGGTTTAACTTATTTCCTCAGGTGACATCACTTAGACAAATAATACCAACATCTAAAGAGCGCAGAACCCACAGTTCCTTAGGCTGAGATGCATTTTCCTTTTATAGCCTCCTCTTAGGAATAAATTAAATATGAGCATGTCAGTTATACCCAGCATTACGGTGACACATGTTGAACTGCAGAACATGGTTCCCTATCAGAGTGAATATTGGAAAAGAAGAAACGGGTAGAAAGTAGTGATTCCTAGAAGACTAATGGAAGAACAACATGATAGATAAGAAGAGAAAATAAAAGAAAATTAATTAGCAGTCAGAAAATACGGCAGGCTGGTGTTGATAGACAGTGTTTCACAGCTGGGTTCTTGGTCCTTGTGTGCCCTGGCCATGGCACCCTGCCTGGCAGCACAGCAGTCTCTCACCCAAAAAGGCACCTGTTTGCAGTCAGAATTGTTTATACCCTTCTCTACACCCCCAAATTGTGAACAAGAGGGATGGCTGACCCAAGTGGATGGTTGGGTCATTGACTCCATCAGTGTTATGAGAGATGACAAATTCTGAAAAGAGAAATAAGAGATGGTTCCTCTACCTTGTCCTCCAGCTCCATTATTTGATTGTTCTGTCTGTCGAGTTGCACATGCTGGTCCTCTACGATTTTGAGAAGTTGCTTGATGTGGTTGTCCTGCTGCTCCACGAAAGCCTGAAGACAGGAAGGGAAGGAGGAGGGTTGTGGTCAGAAGCAGCAGAAGACCTTCACAGTGGCACTGCTGCCATAACTCTTGTCCTGGGGCCAGTTTTGAGAGGCACAGACCATTTAACATTGCCTTTCCTTTTCCAAAGGGTTTCCTGCTTTGCCTCTGAAGGGGCGAATTTCTTTGCCTCTGAAGTGAGCACCCGTTTTTTATTGAGACAAACTACTGGCAGCTCTGTAGACCTTTTTTGTTGTTGCTATTTTCTTTCCATTTCACATCTGGAACGATTATGTTATGTGAAGTTGGCCCTTGATTCAGACTATATTTATGCCACTGATCAAAAAAGGGAACAATTCCAGCATTTAGGGTGTTAGCCTGGGGTTTGGGAGATCTGGATTCACCTTTCTGCTTTGACACAAACATCCAGTAGTTGCTTAGTTCTTTAGTGTATTTTCAAGTTGCTTAGCCTTTCTATGCTTCTGCAAAATACAGTTAATACTTTCTTTTCAATAGCAAACCTTATACCCACCAAAATACTTGCATGTATCGACGTTAAGTCTAATAACACTTGAAATGTTCTTTTGGCCTGGAGGTCATATAGGTACTATAGATGTCCCTTTTTAAAATTCTAAAAGTTCCTGGTTTTATACTGAACAGGTAGTTCCTAGTGCATTGATTTGTAATGAGATGATGACATACAAACCTATGGGCGTGGTAATCACATAATTTTTCTGATTGCAAAAAATTTTTGTCATTATTTTGTTATTAAGAATTTCTTAAAACGGATTTGCAAAAGATAGTGAAAAAGATGCAGAGCCTTACAATTTCACAATTTTCTCACTGATTTCACTGGGGAATTTTATTGCAAAATAAACAATATGTCAGATTAAGACACTGAATCTTTTAAGATTATCAGTGATTTATTTCTCAAAGTACACAGTAGTCCTACAGTGAAGAGGAATGGAAAACACAAGCTTCTATTGCATAACTACAGATAATAGCATTACAATTTACTTTGGCTTTGTGTGTCAGTGGCTTTCACAAATCTACTTACTTTGAGTGAAGAAATGTCTTTTGTCTCTTGCACTGAAGGCTGGATAGTGGCCAGTTTAGTGACTTTGTCCTCCAGTCCCCATACTTTTTCTTGCAGCTGGATTTTGTTTTGTATGAGGTCTTCAATCTTTGAATTCATCTCCTGTGAGAGATTCTTTATCTCTTCATTGTTGATTTGCAGTCTGGCTGTAGTTTGTCTGAGCTGTTCTTCTTCTTCTTTGATTTCACTAGTTTGCAGTGAGAGCTCATAGAAGGACCTATCAAAAATGTAAAGTTTTTGAAAGATGTCATTCATCTGCCCCTTTGTCTTATGGACAAAGTCTTTAAGACCATGCCCAAGCTGGAGGAGTCCATTGGCTAAGATTCGTACATCGTCCAACATGGCAAATCTTGATTTTGTCTCGGGAGATGCAGCAGAATCAAAGGAGGAATAATCCTTCTCAGCTCTAGCTGAGAGAGCAAGTGGGGCAATGAATAGAAAGACTAGAATGATTTTCATGTTTTCTGCTCCTGATACTCGTTGGTTGTTCAGGATGCAGAGACTTTTCATACCAACAGTTTTTGCTGTGTGACTGTTCTGGGTTGTACAGTTTGATCTATTTATACTCCTTTTCATTTTAGAAGAGGGAGACCAATGAGTTGATCATTAAACTGTGTCTATTTGAACGAATGTAACCCCACTTGAATGTAGGTTGATATCTGGGAAGATAAAACTGCGAGACGGGCACGTTGCTGATCAAAGTGGTTTTGAATTTTTCCACCTGCCAGACCTTCTGTTATAAAATGTTATTGATGACACAATGTTTTTCACACAATGCCTTTTAATAGGTTAATTTTGGGTCATAATCTTGATAAGGGCCTAAATCGCTTCTTGTTTGTGTTGTATGATTCCTTTTATTGCCTTGGGAGTATAAAAGGGTTTACCATACTTAAGAACACTGGGTGCTGTATTTCAGGTTGTGCAGCTCCTTGATAAGCTGTGGAAGGGCAAAATATTCCCAGATGATTCACACAACTTGATTCTCATCTTGTACCATTTTCTGATGTAACTCATTGTGCTGTAGTGGATTTACTTGTCATCTAGTTCAGATTAAGTGAGAAAGAGGGAATTAGGTCCAGAGATTGCCTGGATGTGATTCTACTATGTTAAGGTTTGTGCAGTAATTTACACCATATAAAACTTATTTTTTCAGATCTGCTTTCCAGAGGTGGGTGAGATAAGTAATACCTCTCTTACATTTCTCACCTTACCATTCTTATTGTTTAAAATTCACACTACATAAAGCAAGTCTACAAGTACTCTGAAATAAATTTCCTGTTCAGCAGTGGGTCTCTGCATGGAAGCATGTATGTTTTTTGAGTAGTATTGTGGTATGAATGAAGGGTATTTTTCTTTCTGGAATCACTCAGAGAGATCCAAGAAATCAAAATCAATCCATGCATAATATAATCTGTACTTTGGAGACTTTCGAGGTTTTTGCTAGATTATTGTATGTTTAGTAATTTTTCCCCCGGACTTGTTGTTGATATACATAGGCACATATGAGATGAAGCATCAATAGAAAAATTATTTTAAAAATGAAGTTGTTATATCATAAACTTACTGCATGATGAAGGGTTGATAATATGCAGGTAACCTCTCCACCCATAATTAAATAATGTGAAAGTATTTTAGATCTCCACATACTTGGTGGAGAGTATTTTTGTACCAGTACAGTTTGGGTCAGACTTACTGGAGTATCTGCATGGGGTATAGAAAAACAGCAGGAATGTGTAGATCATCAGGCCCAGCACTGGGAGGAATGGGGATTCATTCAAAGAGAATCTGCTGCCACAGAGTGGAAGCAAATGTAGGAATTATCCTTAAATAGAAACAATAACCACTATTCTGTATCAGAAAGCAGCACTGCATTTTCACAACCCAAAGGTGCAGTTCTGTCCCATAAAACCCCAACACAGTAATTTCTCATCGTGCAAGGTGTCCCAGTCTTGAAGGACCTCATGCTTGTACACTGCAAAGACTAAGCACTGAGAATTGTCTCATAGGGAACAAACCTGTGAAGGCAAAAGGGATAAGTAAGGTTCTGCTTTTTCAGCTCTATTTCAGCTATTTGTGAATTCACAGCATCGTAAAGGCTGTGACCAATCAGGAATTGCCTCTCAAGCACAATTTTAAAACACTTGAGCAAAACAGCAAAGTAACGATTTAAAAATCCCTGGGCACGGAGCGTTTTGAAGGTTCAAGCCTGAGGTCTCAGCTCTGGCTGCACCGTGCAATGAGTCAGGGAGCAGGAGGGCAAGGACAGCTCTGCGCCCTGGCCAGTGCTGCTGCCAAGGATCAGAGCAGCCTTTGCTTCCTTTGGATTGCAGCTTCTTGTTAACCGGCTCCTCCCATACTTTAGCTGGACAGTCCTTTTGCCTTTCAGGACAGACTGAAGAGCTGTGAAGAAGCCTGAGATATGTGTAGGCCCATGCAGATACTGCAGTGCTTGCCTAGTTCTGTTTCATTATCTGCAGCTTTCATTAAATCAGGTCAGAAATGGGCATGTGCAAGATACAGAAAGAATGGCTCTTACCAACTAAATGCCTGTTTGGTTCTCCGATGACAATTCCTGTAAAGCCACAGTTAGCAGATCCTGGCCAGCTGAGCCTGGCCTGTATCTGCTCACTGTTGGCATATGTAACACATGGTGGAGAAGAGTTATTTGCTTAATTACTCCTTTGAGCCTGGAAGGCTATAGGCAAGCAAGAAGTTTGGTTATGGGCTGTTCATTATAGCTTCTGCACATCCATTCACTTGCCGATCATTTATTTTGCACTGAATATTAGGCGTGTTGATGAAAACATGATGGCCTCTTCATTTCTAAAGTAACACAAGTCACTCATTGGAGACCGACTAGTTGAACACATTTGGGATGTAAACAAGCAGCCAAGAGGCGAGCAAAGAGCTGAGGGTTCTTGCTGTGTCACAGAGCTCATGCCACTCTCGGATCTCTAGGCGAGCAGTAGGAGCAAAGCAGTTTTGTGCAGAGAACTAAGAGGGGGTTAGGACTGTGCATTTGTTTCTTCTCTGATGCGTAAAGATACAGCAGTCTGCAACACGAGACCACCAGTGGAGCTTCTCACAGGTTGAGAGTTATACCCACACTTATATGTTACTCTGCGTTGGGAGTTTAGATTCAGGTTTATTATGGTTGGTGCTGCTTATTCAGTGGGTGAGTATTATGTTGGCTTTGGGCAATGGGGAGTCTGATGTGTTCCTAAATCAGGTGCTTCTCGGTGGTACTGCGTTGGGCTGGGTAAGTGTGCTGTCAGGTGGAGAAAAGTAAAAATATTTTAGTGATGCAGTTGCTCAGTGTACGTAGAGACACAGATTTGAACAGGGACTTTTACTGAAATGAAACACGGTTCAATTTTTCTGCTTCTGCCTTTGTATTGGCACTTCATTTTAACCCCACATGTAACTAAGTCTGGTAACTAGGGCTCAAATGTTAAGCATTATAGTAATTCCTAATTTTATTGTGATAGTGATTGTTTGTCATGATTAATTCTCTGATCTGCATGGCATAGGGCTTTATTTCAGAGATCTAGCTTTGACAAAATTGATTGCTTACATAACACTGGGTAACACTATTAAACACTTATAATGTTGAAAAAAGTAAGATAAACATGTCCTTTTGAAGGATTTACATTTTCTGTAGGGAAACTCATTAGTTTCACTTGTGTCAATGAAGTTTAGATATGTTTTTTATATGGGCCTGACACTGCTCTGTAATAGGGAACAAAATCTAGCCTCTGGCATCTGACAGAGGGATGTTGGGCTGCGAAACTTGAAAAAATGGTTGCAAAATTTAAAAAACAAAAAACAACAACAAAAAAACCCAAACCAAACCAAAAAATAACCCAACCCAAACCAAAACTAACAAACAAACAAAAAAAAAAAAAAAACAAAAACAAAAACAAGAGAAAAGGTATAGACTTTATTCAATCCACTTCAAAATGCTTGAGTGGCTTTGGTTTTACAGGGTTTCAAATTAATAATTTTCTGTTAACTATTTCTTACAAGAAGTCTTTCTCCAATTTGTGTTAAATATTTTTTAATCCTTCCTAACTCCATCACCCCCAAAAATCTTCATTCTTGGCCTAGTCTTCAGGAAAAGATAGGAAGTTACTCAAGAAGTAGCAATGACCAGGCAACTGGAAACTGGACAATTTACCAGGTTTTTACAGCTTGAGAAGCTCCACCATATTAATGCCAGTGCCAATAAAGTCAGGCAGTGATAAGCTCACTACAAAATACCACCCTTAGATGTCACAACAGTCACAGAGTCTGTAAGCAAAGCAGGACACAGGAAAGCAGAGGAGAGAAAAACTTCTGGTACGATTAAACCATAAGATTCAGGAGTTGTAGAAACCCTAATGGGGAATCCTGCCTCTGAGAGCTGTTAACCCAGTCAAGAAAAGATGTATATAACAAACATGATCCTGAAGATCTCTCCTGCACCTGGGTGACCCTCATTAAATGGGCTTTAAATGATTTTTATAGTAGGAATAAACCAAAGAAAAAAGGTCTCTAGGTTTTACTGAAAAGGGAAATTTTCATAATACTTAGACATTCCCTCTAAGAGTTAGGATCAGCTCTTAATGTTTTAATACCTTTATGAAGGATTTTGCAAAATGGCTGCAATCACATTATATAAATATTTAGAGGAGTGCCTGGTGCCATTATTTCCATGGCTTGGGAAGCCTTTGCACTTTAGCAATTAATTTTATGGAAGTAAAAGTACTTTTGAGATCTGTTTGAGATAATAGTATAAGCTTTGCATACATTTTGCACAGCATTTTAACAGAAGCTCTAGACACAAGTCCTTGGATTTAAAGCTTCTGGCTGAAACTTTTATTGATAGAAATCTGTGAATAGTATCGTCAAGAAGTTGCTTGAAGCATAAGGACTAGCAGTCCTTTTGTTTAATCAGTGTATGCCTAGCTTGCTTGTCAGTGTTGCGGTGTTATTTTCATGGTTGGTCCCTTCTCCTCCCTTTATCCCTTCTATAGAGAATGGAACACTGTGATATGAGACCTCCCCATGATGTCCAGCCCACCAGAAAGTTGCTCTTTCCCCTTGCTTCCCACTGCTTGTATGTAATAGAGGGCTGGGGCTGTCCCCTCTTGATTTCTGAGGACTACATTCAATGCCATGCCACTTACTTTGCCTTTAAAAGCCCCGCAACTTCGATGCCTCTCACCTCACTCGTGCAGTGAGGCAGCTCCTGCCATCACTTGGCACAGAAGTCTTGTTTCACTCATTTCGGAGGGTGGTGGTTACAGCTCTGGTGTCCTACAAAGTCTACTGAGTCCTGGTACTTGTGCACACAAATAAGGTGAGAACTTGAGATACAATGAAACAAGAAAGAGGGTATCAGAGGAGAAACCAAGAAGTCAGCTTCCCAGGGCAGCTATTAGATAGGGGCATCAGTTCCTTCAAGAGATTTATAATGTTCCTGTCAGTT